GGAGTGTCTGTGCCGAAAAATGTGGTGCCACTTGGGAAGAACTCAATTCTTTGGCCTGTTTCGAAGCGAATCATATGTCAAGAAGCTTTAGCGGCATTGAAGGAGAGAGAGGAACACGAGGAAGAGGTTGCGATTGATAAGATGAAGCTCAGAGTGGAGTCATCACTCAGCATTCCACTAGCCGAAAGGAGAAAGGAGTGGAATCGAGTAGGTCTCCACTAGCCTTCTACCGTTAATGACTCCTCCACCTGAACCCTTCGACCTCGCACTTGGATGGTATTTCTCGATGGTTTCAAGCCTTGTCAAGCCACGATGGATCAACAGCTGCTCATCTTATCCATCTGTACAGACAGAGTAGGCCGATCCCTGCTCGTCTAGAACGATCACATTCACGCTCCTGCTCTACACGCGCGCCGATTCCGCAGTTGTGGTTCAGCCCAAAGCCTTGACCCTCCTCATCAGCTCATTCCAGCATTTTTATCAATCATCATGCGCCAGCTTCATTTCTGTGTGTCAACCACGTTTGGCGCCGCAGAATTGACTCGCTAGTCAGACGTTCTTCCCGAATTATGTCCATAGCATGCATGGATGGAATAGCAAGGGTCATTACCTAGGTACCAAGGTAGACTAGACATTTCAGTAGCTGGATCATCTTTAGGCGATTTCTTGACTTTTCTTCGGCTCTCGGTATCACCTTTTACTGACGGAGTACTACTACCTACTTTTCTGGTGTTGGTGCTACCCAAACTCTGACCAAGAATCTGTGCATGCATCTTCTTTTCCCCATGTCCGTACCGTAAATTGATCATCCCACCAACCCCCATCTTATACTCAATCTACTTCCGGTTTTATCCATCTAATCTATCCAATCTGTTCTATCCCAGTTCTTCTTTTTGCCTCTTGACATCTGCTTCCCACCAGTGTCTTACAAGCTCCCAAGCTCTTATACCTCCCTTCTTGGGCCTGTCCCTCCCCTCCTTCATCTTGTCTCTCATCCTCACCATCGTATCTTGTGTAGTTCAAGCTGCTGAGGCTGGGACGACTTGGGCCCTCACATCTTCAGAATGCTTCTCAACTCTTTATCAGTTGAGGCAGCATTGCTTCTCGCCCTTCCCCATCTCGCTTCTGCAGCTACCAGAAAGTTTGATTTTGATATTGGCTGGGTCAGAGCTAATCCTGACAATGCTTTCGAGCGCCCAGTCATTGGCATCAATGGCAAGTGGCCAATCCCTACAATCGAGGTTGACATTGGTGATCGGGTCATCATCAATGCTCACAATAACCTGGGCAACCAATCGACTTCTCTGCATTTCCATGGTCTCTACATGAACGGCACTACCCATATGGATGGCCCTGCTGGTGTTAGTCAATGTCCAATTGTTCCTGGAACCAGCTTTACATATAACTTCACTGTAAGAATGCTCAAGATCCTCTCTGTCTCTCTATATTTGATTAACACATCCACACAGGTCGAGCAGCCAGGTACCTATTGGTATCACAGTCACACTGCTGCTCAATACCCTGACGGTCTGCGTGCTCCCTTCATCGTTCACGATAAATATTTCCCCTACAAGGATAAGTACGATGAAGAGGTTATCTTTTCTCTTTCTGATTGGTATCACGACGAGATGCAGTCCATGATTCCCAAGTTCATGAGCAAGGCCAACCCCTCAGGTGCAGAGCCCGTGCCCAACAATGCCTTGATGAACGAAACCACCAACTTCACAATGTCTGTCAAGCCCGAAACAACCTACCTGTTCCGTACGATCAACATAGGTGCTTTTGCTGGCCAGTATCTCTGGTTTGAGGGTCACAAGATGCGCATTGTTGAGGTCGATGGTATTTACACCGAGGAGGCTGAGGCAGAGATGATCTACATCTCCGCTGCTCAGCGTGTCAGCTTTTTGCTCACCACCAAAAAGGACACTTCCAAGAACTTCCCAATTGTCGCCAGCATGGATACTGTGAGTGCCGCTAGTCTAAAAATGATGCTGAAGCACAAGCTGATAATCTCATATAGACTCTTTTTGATGTCCTGCCTCCGGACCTGAACTACAATGCCACCGGCTGGCTCGTTTATGATGAAAAGGCCGACAAGCCAGACGCCGCTACTGTTGACGCTTTGGATCCTCACGATGACATGAAGCTTGTTCCATACGACAAGATGGGCATTCTTGGAAAACCTGACCAGGAGTTCACTCTTGATGTCAAGATGGAAAACCTCAAGGATGGGGCCAACTACGCCTGGTTCAACAACATTACCTACGTCGAAGCCAAGGTTCCCACTCTGTATACCGCCCTCAGTGCAGGCAAGGACGCCGAGGATCCAAGTGTTTATGGCACTTACACACACTCAATGGTCCTTAAGAAGAACGAGATTGTACAAATTGTCGTGAACAATCTCGATTCGGGTCGTCACCCTTTCCATCTTCACGGACACGCTTTCCAATCCATCTACCGTTCCGAAGAGGAGGCTGGTGTCTGGGCCGATGCCAATGTTACTGAAGCTGATTTGCCCAAAACTCCTATGCGACGTGATACTCTTGTCATCTATCCCAACGGTAACATTGTTATGCGTTTCAAGGCCGACAACCCAGGTATGTGCCAAAACTCAATTTAAGAAGGGATTCGCAGGATTAACTCTCTCCAGGTGTCTGGCTGTTCCATTGCCACATTGAATGGCATGTGGTGTCTGGTCTCATCGCCACCTTCGTCGAAGACCCTCTTACTCTTCAAGAGACCATCCAGGTCCCCAAGAACCACCTGGATGCCTGCGCCGCTGCTGATATGCCTACCAAGGGAAATGCGGCTGCTAATACTGAGAACTTCCTTGACCTTACTGGCGAGAATAAACCTGCCAAGGCTCTGCCTGCTGGGTAAGTCTCTCTACTCCCATTGCTTTTCGAGGCTGATGCACTGACGCTCTTTGAAGATTCACTCCTCGTGGTATCGTCGCTCTTGTCTTCAGCTGTATCTGTGGTATCCTGGGTGTCGCCGTCGTGGCATGGTATGGATTTTCTGCACCTATCGACCCAACCAGTGCCGGCGCTCTCAGCGCTGGTATCGTTGATGGCAGTGACTCAGGTGACGGCAGCCCTGCTCACAAGGGACTTCAGGAGACAGTTGTCTCCCCTTCTGGTGATGCGAGAAGTCACTGATTGGTGGGTTGGACGTCCATGTCTTCCTGCAGCTCAGCGGCCTTGCTTCCAAGGCTTTTTAAATTTGATAATATGTACTAGTCTTTGAATATACCATTTTGCTACTTGTTACTGTGTAGTTTCATCTTCAGCAATGATATTTCGGTGTCCTGAACTACGGTCCAGTCTTCCGTTATCTACTTAGCTCCCGTTAGAAGATCCATTGTCCACAGTATATTATATTTTTAAGAAGCTCGCATAACTCAGGGATCGTTGACGAAAGTTTAGTTGTCACAAGATAAAGAAATATGATCGAGCCGCATAGTCAATCGCTTCGGTCTGTCCAGATTTGTCTGGGTACTAGGGAATTGTATAAGTCAGTCTGCTCAAGGAATTAGCCGAAGAGCTGATCTGTGAGTGGGAAGTGACAATGCTTCGTCCATGGGGATCAAAGGAGTCTAAGTTTGGCCAAACATCCTGAGCTTGGTCGGGGTCTTGCTATAAGTCTTAGTATCTGGCCCGATGAGCTCGGTGCCGAAACCATCGTCAATAGTAGAATGGTATATATTAGATACCAGGCTCCCGGTACCTACAATGGAGTCATAACAAACTACGTTACTCCTAGTATCCTGAGACTTGGCTCGGTTTCTCCTTGTCTCAGTTAGTTGCTCTCCTTCTGTCCAAGATGCCTTTGAGTCTCGCGGGTATCTGGCTCTGGCAATAGTAGAGCTGTGCATGGTAAATCAAGTACCGGCCGCTCTCATTTCAGTTATAGGAACTAGTTTCTTTGTTCTTGTGTGAGGCTCCTCGGTGAAACATCATTGATATTCATGGCTGCGTCTATTATATAGAGCTGCTGTTGATATGAACGCAGGGAAATTTACTCCCGTTGGATGATAGTAGAAGAACAGCCAGCTTAACTGCAGTGCGAATCCGGTCATATTGTTCCTTCAGCCTACTTGGCGAGATTCTCAACTTAATTAATGTTTATTTGATGATCCTACCGTGGCTATCTGCTTCCTCAGACAGTCTGACACAAGTCGATAGACTTTCCTGGACATCACCAGATTGTGTACTACCTAAATCTTCAGGTGATCATGGGCTTAGGCGCTATCACGTACCATTGTGATGGTAGACGGAATTAAGAACAACGACTGCATCACGGCCATGGTACTATAAGCTGACAAGTTCTTTTGTTTCACTCCTTCAAGTTTGTGTCTCCTATTGCATACAAATTTGGTTATCACTCACCCGTTCAGGAAAGACAGGGTCCAGTATGACACTCAATTTTCACTTTAGAATACAAAAAAAATCTATTAAGTCGTTTTCAAGTCTTTCGAAGTCCACATCATTTTGACGATCTGAACCCCCTCGCCGCGGGCTATCCCTCATGTACACATCTCGAGGATACACAATCGTCTGATCATCATGTCTCATCAGCACCTTTCGCTAGCCACCCCATCATCCGCTAAAAATCCTGAAGCGGGAAGAGAGAAACAAGAGACACGGGAGGCAGACAACCCGCATTGCGCCGATGAGACATGACAGGAAGAGATGCACATCGAATTCAACATCGTTGTTTCTCGGGGCTGAAACAACCATTGAAATCATGTTTTCAGCGCGACCAAAGAGGCGCATCAGACAATTCCGAGAGTCATAAGCTGATTTGCAACGGTGTATGCCCCCATATCATTCAAAACTCCAAGAATCAGTAAAGAAAAAGAAGTACAGCGGGAAATGCCATGGTTTCAAGAAATAATTCCGAGTAAAAGGAAAACAGGGAGGGGTATAGGTATGATCCAGCTGAGGACGGTCATCACATCAGGCTCGCGGTCCCATGGTCATTGAGTGAGAGTGAGACGTTTACTGGTTGATCTTCTCGTTGACGGCAGTGGTGGTCTCGGCCTTCTTCTGGTGCAGGAAAGAGCTCAACCAAGAGAGCGTCTCGTTGCTAACGACGAGGACGGTGGTAACGGCAGCTTTTCCGTGCGCGACGAGGCCTCCTTGCTCGACCTTCTTGATCTCAGAGTTGTAGACCTGGAAGACATGGTCCTTACCCTCAAGACCCTTCTGAATTGGGAAGAGGATGAGAGCGCGGGTATCTTGGTAGAGTTCATCGGTGGGCTTCTTGACGACGGGGAACTTCTCGTCGATACGGTCGAGGGTCTTGTCGCCTAGGGAATCGACCTTCTGGACATAGGGAGAGACATATTGGTAAGGCTTGGCGAAGTAGGGGACGACGGGAGCGGCGAAGGTCTGGTAAGCGGCGTCGGTGAGCTTGATGGAGCGCTGGCCGAATTCGTTGGACTTGAAGGTGTGGACGCCGTCGCTAATGACAGGGTAGTTGAGGAGATGCTGCAAACAGGTTAGGTTGGGTCGCGAAGCGATGAGCTATTCCACAATTACCTGGACGAAAGCAGAATACTGAGCAGCGCTCACGTCGCCGTTAACTTGGTGAGACATGGTAGCTTTTGTTTTTAGGGTTGCTCGCAAAGAATCGGTGCAAGTGATGAAGTCGCGAGGTTCGAGATAAAGTCAATTGCTTGTCGAAATCGTGATGACGTTCGATGACGAGTGGTAGATGAGCTTGATTTCGAGTCAGGAACGGCTATTTTCTTTCCAAGAGGAGCTTCAGGTGGGATGTGATGGTGTAGGATAGATGAACAGAGGAGAAGAAGGTGTGAAAGTAGGATGGTCGCAATTGAGGGGGACCTGCAGAGGCTAATAAAAGGGAACAGGATGGACGAGGAAGATGGGGAGAGTGTATCTGTGTGTGGGTTACGTCTGAGGTGAGAGGAGGGAGAGGAGGGAGATGATGTTGGTGGGACGCCACAGTATGGAAGCTCAGTACCTACAGTTTTTGGTGTAAAAGAAGTCGGAGGAAGAAGGGAAAATGAAGAGGAAAGGGCCTATCTAGGTTAATAAATGCGCTTTGGGTGTGCTGTAAGTGCTGTCTAGTAGGTAGTACTTAGGTAGGGGGCTAGAAAATTCCGGAAAGTAACCCACCTTTACGATACAGCAAATATCAAGGTGCAGCTGTTTTTTGCCATCGCGAGGATTTTGGAGGAGTGAGTGTTAGGGACGGGAGCAGCCAATTTGCATGTGCAAATGCGCAAACATGTGCTTGTACTAGACAAGGTATCTTTAGAGCTATTTTGGGCTGAGTGGATACTTTGACGTACTGACCTTAGCACTACGTATCTTGTGGCTGATTCAAGTTTGTTTCTTGTGAGCCTCCCTTTTTTGATATTGGATGAGGAAGATATTGAAGATTGATCCCGTTACATCTCCTCTGGGTCTTTAACTGAGGCTATTCGAATGCCATTTCAGCCACATACATGCTTTTCAATTCTTTTTAGCCCCCATCAAAGACCACAGCGGTAGGTATCAGTCAGTATCAGTCAGTGCAGGCATTGGTGGGGTGCTGTTGGGCCTTTGTGACACCATCACAGCCAAAAGATAGGCAATCGTTCGACTCAGCCGCATGCCCTGTCTCTGGGTGTTCATTCCTCGTTTCATCTCTTTCCTCAACAGCCAATTCGATCAAATGGCTCGCCCCGCGAAGACGGGAGCTCATTAATTAGGTACGTACCCCCGCTCCTCGCGTAAGGTCGTTGATGTCCCTGCAGGCAGGGCAGGAATGATCTCCATGACATGTGAAAGTGGCCCCTCCCCCCACTCTCCAAGCAATAACGTTTCCCGTTCTCCAAACATAGGTAGGTAACCAACACCAAGATTCAGTTCGACTCAAAGCTCCCCAACAAAAGAGCCTGAGCTATAGAATCCCCCTCTCATCAGATCAAGGAGTGCAGCTATTGCAATTCTACATCGACGCCACGCATCCTTGGCGCCAATCAAACAAGAATGAGCTCTTGATGCAAACAATATATCTTCCTTTTTGGGTGTTCCGAACGAAATGACATTCAAGTGAGCGAGACTTATTACTTCGGAGACTTTGATATCTCCACTGTCGACAGCCGGCTTATCAACTTAGTCCGCGGGCTCGGACAGTTGGCACATGAACTTCGTGGAAGCGTTGCCTCTCCTCGGAGATAATGGCCAATGGCCAATTCCGTGGAGTGCAATACCACGCAATGCAATGCAATGCAATGCAATAGAGGACCAGATACAACTCAATCTTCGTCATGATGCGTTTCAACACTACGCTTTTCCAAGTCTGTGTTCCCTCGCATTGCGTCTGCAAGCGCTCGGTCCACGGCCAATCCTCCTCTGTACAGTCCGTACTCCGTATGTCTTATCTCGGGCATTATCAAGCCTTAGCTATCCGTTCAACCTAGCAACAACGATCAGGTCGGATCAGCAACTCCTCCTCTCCCCTTCGCTAGGAACCAATCGTCGCCTCGTCTAGTCTCAGCCATGTGGCAGGCACTTAGCTTGTCAGCTATTCACCCCTAAACCTACTTGGAAACAGGGTAGCAGTCCGCGTATATGTAGGAAGGGCATTTTTCATCACTCTTGATGTAGCCGCTACGTGAAGCATTCGCATTGATAAGAGACCTCTCATTCTGCTGCCGACTTGGCGAAAGGCAATCCAGCTGCTGCCGCGGTTAAACCTCATATCAGACACGAGCTCGACGGCCGGCCTCGGATCCCAAGGGAAGAAGGAATAATTAAATGTCGCTTCCAGAAAAGCGGCTCCGTCTCGTGGCTACGAACTCGATTCCTTTTTCGACACATGCTCCATAGCCTCATCACGTTAACGAAATCGCTCTATTACCTTATCGACCGATCACCCAAAAGCCCCAAGGGTCCCCTGCTACGTGGCATGCACCCTGTCACTGAAGTCGTCTACGGCCCACTTACAGCTACTTTCACATGTCAGGAATTACATGTTGAGTGATGGCTGAGTGATGGGCGATGAATTCATCAATTGATAGACGTGAGTGCCCCCTTGAAAGTCTCAAATCAAGCAGACGGGTGCGCTTGTGTAACCCTGATCGACAGCATGTTCAACGGCTCATTGCGCAAGCTCGGCAACACAAAATCTCACGATCTTCAAGTGATCACCAGTGGAAAACGCCAGCATTCCTCTCTCTAACTAGCACACACGTTCCTCTGCGCAACTAACTGTTGGTCGGCGCACAGGGTGACCAGTCAAGCATTCACACTTTACATGATTGCCATATTCTTTCTTCACGACTCTTCTTCGTCTTCTGCGGTGGGAATCTTCCTCTCAGGCTTCACCAAATTTGCGCCGCGTCATTTCAGTGTATCGTGATCACGACAGGATGCATATTTTCTTGAAACGCCGTTTCTCTGCGTCTCTGGTGAGCGACTCACGAAGCCCCACGGCCAGGGCCACTCGTCCCCTCAATATCACATGTCGAAAACAAATCTTTTCGTTATTTCGTTATCGCTATACCTATCGTGATCGTGGTAGCTCAACCCCAGCACGATAGCTTCCGTCGGTCAATGTGGGCCTCTACACCTAGCATCTGATTTCGGGCTAGTCAACAGCCCTACATAACTTGCATGTTCCCTTCCTCTTCATGCTTGTGCTCATGCGTCGGAGATCCGCTTGATTTGATTGATCTGACTTACAAGGGCTCTTCGGATTATCTTGGACCACATGCAAGACCCTCAAATTCGGCTTGTTTCCGATAATCATAGTTCATGGCCTTTCTTTTGGGCTTGTTTCCCTGCATCATCGCGGCGCAAGCCATATCCCAGTCTCGAAATATTCGACTCTAATTCCCAATGCCTGAAGATTCACGGATCTTGAGATTTGCAAGTATGACTGGTCTAATTTCGAAACTCACTTAGCGCATTATCAGGGATACTGTCAAAAGTCCATATAACGATAACCTTCACTTTTCACAAAGCAACACTGCTTTCACCATCATGGTCACCTGTTGTCTTACAACAGCTTGTCAACCCACATTCAGGACTCGCTTTGCGAATCACATCGCTGGACACCGTGAATCCAAGCGGCGGTAGTTGCGCCAGCTCTCTTGGGGATCTTCCAATGTTTCACTTTAGTTCTGACATGAAGGAACATCTCCGCCTGCTAAGGGACGGCTCGATGCGGATCGAAATGTCAGCTGCTCAACTACTTCAGCTCAATTGGTTGTGAAGACCTGTCAATCGGCGATCAACGTCAGGCCTCAACGCGGTCAGATGCGAAAATTATGGATTGATTGCACGATGCGCGGTAATTGATACTGTCGCGAAAGCAAAATGGTGTGCACAGACAGAAAGATGTTTGTCACACATTCAGTGACTCAGATGGTATTACCAAGTGGTACAACTGCTACTGCGGCTGCTTTTCCTCTTTATATTCCCTTCCGTCAGTCCCAATCTCTCTCTACCTGTCTTTCTTCGGTAGATTTCGTATGGTTACTTTTAGGTGCTGTACTATAATCGATTTCCATCAATATGATTTTTTACAACCTTGTTGCTTTTGCGCTGTTTGTGACTTCGTCTCTGAGTCGAGCCACCGATGAAGAAATACATCTCCAGTGGTCACTATGTGATCGTGATGGAGAAGCCGTCCTCGAGAAACTAGGGGAAACAGTTCGCCCACCCTACAAACGCAATCCGATCACCTATTTCGACACCATGCCCCCGACTCATGCGCAACAAGGTGTCATGTTCCGCACAAAGACGAACAAAGGAAACCCATTTTCTGTCATCAAGGTCCGCTTCGATGAGAAACCAGAGCGCATTCCTCCTGGCGCCCATTGCGTCTATGATCGATACGGCGACAACGTCCCATTCACTTGTGCCCAGCGGTACCTCCTCTGTGACAAGACAACCCAAGAGATCTGGAGCGATGACCAAGTTCGATTTGCAGAAAAGTACGACGACATTGACTGGGATGGCCTTGTATCCTACGGGCCATTCCCAGATGGCAAGTGGAAGTTAAGAATACTAGGGCACAAAGCGAAGCTGGATGATGTAGTAGCTGGGGAGCTTCACCTTATGGAGATTGAATTGTCTACCCTGAAAGCCGGATCTGAGAAAGTGTATCAGGAGGTCACTGAGTATCTGAGACAACACGATGTATTGCTCTGCGACCCCCAGGCGTCGAAGACACTGCGTCTGTTTCGCGGTATGGGATACATTGATGATGAAGACACTTGGGTCGAGGAGCTTTAGCTACTCCTCATATGTTAATTCTCTTTCGTTCTATCAAGTTATACTGTTGACGATGTACCCATCCTCCAGCTTTTTTGTGGGACTGGGAATGCGGTGTTGTTGGAAACGCTTTAGTCCTTAGACATGGACCCATGTCGTTAAAAGCTGATATAATGAGGTTCAGTAGTTATGCCTATGAATACTAGGCCTCTTGCCAACCTTACCCCGAACTTAAACTTAACGTAACGTAATTGTGCTCATACACGATTTCTCCTTAGCGCTGCCTGCATCAGCATGTCCCTTATCATTCTCTCGGCATTCACTTCCTTTGCCATGAATAACCTTCTCAAGAGTGAACTGCGTGTGTTTCTTGATATTGACTTCAGCGCCACATGTAATCCTTGGGTGCTTCTAGATCCTATGCACCAGCCATATGACCAAGACTGCCTTGCAAAAGTTGCTCCAAGGACGGGCTCCGTCATGGTGCAGAAACCTGAACGGCGACTTCACTGTTTCTTTTTAGTGTTGTCTTCCTCGTTCCCACTATAACCATATATATCCTCATCATCGTCCACTGGCCTCGATGGAAGAGTAGGACGTGGGTTTATGGGTGGAACAGCAGTATTGACTGGCTTTTCAGGAGCCTGCGACTCTGTTCGTTGACGATGAGGCGCCGTTGCAGTGAAATCCCGGAGGCTGTTCTGGGTTCCTTGTTGACCATTCTTCTTGGCTGTATTTTGAGTGGTCTCTCGAACGGTCTCCTGTACGGTCCGATGAGCGGGACGTTGAGTGAGCTGATATTGAGTCTTGTCTGGTGCCATGCCTTGGACGAGCTCTTGATAGGCGCCTTTCATGAAAGCTTGAACGCTATCTTCAGTGTTTCCCGGTGACAGATTCTGAATGGTGTTTTGGAGGGTTTCCCGATCGAAATATTGAACGATACGTTGAGCGTTATTTCGAGCAATATCTTGATCCTTGTTTTGATGGCTTAGAATGAGATCCCGAGTGCGACCCTGCGCCTGACGTTGGGCTCGGATTTGATCGCAAATTAGAGCCTGACGTCGATTACGTTGCTTAAATCTTTCTTGAACAATATCTCGAGCTTCCATTGCGTTGTCATCCTGAATGCGACGTTGAGCGATGCGTTGAGCACGCAGCAGAGCGAAATCCTGAGCGTCCCCTAAGTCATATTTGAGAATTTGAGCCATACTTTGAACGAGACTATCGCTGAGACCTTGATGGTAGCATTGGGCGTCCCATTGAACAAGATCCTTTTCCTGCCTTTGATACTGTTTCTCTAATTCTTGGGCGAAAGTTTGATCGTCCCATTTGTGTGCAAGGGCCCTCGAGACAATATTGTCCCATATATCGACGTACTGAGTGGCGCCTAGATCGATGCCTAGATCGATGCCTAGATCGATGATGTCTTGACCGTTGTCTTGATCGTTGTCTTGATCGATGCCTAGATCGATGGTGTCTTGATCGTTGTCTTGAGCGTTGTCTTGAGCGTTATCATTATTATTATCCTTGTCCTCGTCCTCGTCCATAGGCTCTGGTGACTCATCGATAAAAATCTCCATTTCTTCGAGTGTCTTTGTTTGTCTGTGCTCCCACTCTTCATCCATCTCCTTCTTCTCCTTCATGTGCGCTTCAAGGAGCGTGTCTTTGAGCCATTCGCACTCAATGAACAGGATGTCGAGCATTTTGTCCCTGTTCCATATCGTCATATTGACATCACACATGTTGTATGTATCGATGAGTTTCTGCTGCCCCTTCAAGAGGAACTCAAGCTCCCAGTCATTGGTATAGAGTCCGTGGAGGACAAACAGCAAAGCAGATGCAAGTTCCATTGCATTATGGAATTGCTTCTTCGCCCAGTGCCTGAGCACGTCACGGTGCTTGTACAGGGGGTGGTTCCTGTAATCTTTCCACTCGTCGTTGTTCCTGATGACGAACATTTCATGCCAGATAAAGTACTTGATGGCGCGCCTGCGCCAGTATGGAAATAGTTCCCTGTGGTATCTGACGGCGTCTAGGAAATTTTCGATCAGGGCGCAAGCATTTCGTCTGTTGGTGAGAGGAAAGGGGCACTCGAGGGGCAAGTCGAATATGGTTATCTTGTTGCAGAGATTCGCCTCCTCCCATTCTGTGACTTCGTCCCACTCCAAACGAGGCCTTGGGTCCTTGAGTTGCCTGCCATTATCGTACCAGGGCGACTGAATGGTGACCGGTCCTGGCATTTGTGGTTATAGACGATCGATATAGAACTGTCGCAATGTTTGGAGGAGGTTCGTCAATATTTGGAGTGTGTTCTATGCTGAGGAGAAATCCCAAAGCGAGAAGTGTGGAGTGTTTTGTTTAAGTAAACAGCCACATGTAAGTGGCAAGAGCGCATCACTTCCATGTTCCAACGAACTTCTTTCAATGAAGTGAACAAGGTCGTAGATGAAAGCTTAAGATGGGTAGGTACCAAGACGAAACGAAGGTTTAGGGTAGGCAACAGTCGGAAATACGGATATCAGATCTTACGTTAGTTATTATCTCCACTTATTAGACATTCATCGCCTTGGTCAGCCTTAGCAAACCAAAAATATTGGGGACCATTCCATTCTAGGTCCATGGGGGCTCCATGCAAAGCAAACCACCACAATTTAGCTGCTGATGTAACATTGACTAAACATCTCTAACCTCCACCACGGATCAATTCGATCCAATGCCATCCACGGCTTATTCTATCTATTTCTACTCGTAGGACCCTGCATTTGTCGTGCTTGTAAATTCATCTTCTCATCCAACCTTGTCTCTCGTAGTATATAAATCCCCTTTCTCAACCGCCCTCCCTGGTCATGACCCTTTTTCGTTCCATCTTCATACCAGTATTCATTGCTCTAGCAGCTATTGCATTGTTCCAACATCGTATCAAGGACACAGCAGCGTCAACCTTTGAATTCATAGGGACTCTCACCTCTCTGACTGCTTTCGACAAGGCCAACACTCAGCACACACAACAACACCTTTACGCCACAGAAATGTCTGTCACTCGAGCCGTTCGCAAGGTCTTCCTGGCCGTTGAGCAGTCCGAAGGAGCTGGTGCCCGTGTTCGTCGCTCAATTGGCACTCCTCAGCTCCGCAACTTTTCTCCTTTTCTCATGCTCGATCACTTCTCCGTGAAGCCTGGTGCTGGTTTCCCTGACCATCCTCATCGTGGCCAGGAGACTATCACATATCTCCTTGAGGGTGGCATGGATCATGAGGATTTTGCTGGCAACAGAGGTACTCTATCCGCCGGTGACCTCCAATTCATGACTGCTGGAAAAGGTATGAACCACTTACTAGTCCTAAATAGCAGGATCGTACTAACATCGCCTAGGCATTGTGCACGCTGAGATGCCCCGACAAAACGAGGATGGCAGCGCAAACGTCGGCCTTCAACTATGGGTCGACCTTCCCAAGGACCTAAAGGCTTGCGAACCTCGGTATCGCGACCTCCGTGGCTCCGAGATCCCCATCGCCAAGGTTGACGATGGCAAGGTCACCGTAAAAGTCATTTCTGGCCAGAGCCACGGCATCGACTCTGTCAAGGATCTCGCCTACACACCCGTCTGGTTCCTCGACATTGAGATCCGCCCTGGTGGCAAGATCACCCAACCTCTCCCCGCAAACTGGAACGCCTTTGCCTACACTCTTGAGGGAGATGTTATCGTTGGCAAGGACGACCAGCGACGTGTTGTCGAGCAGTACCATAACATTGTCTTTGAGCCGCAGGGAGATGTTGTTCACTTTGAGGTTGACGCCGGTGCTTCGAAACCCGCTCGACTAGGTATGTAAACCATTCACCCTCAGGAAATTATACACACTAACACCTTGATGAGCCCTCATCGCTGGTATTCCTCTTGATCAGCCTGTTATCCAGTATGGTCCTTTTGTCCTCACTTCCAAGGAAGACGTCGCCAAAGCTCTTTTCGATTACCAAACCCACTCTAATGGTTTCGAGCGAGCAGAGAACTGGCAGAGTGAGATTGGCAAGTCCATGATGGACTAGACAGTACATATACGTTGCTTGATGACTTGACTGGCGTTACAATGGGATATCTATTTGGTTATAACTACCTACACTTATGAGCTGGCAGCGCTGTTTGAAAAAATTGGTTGTGTTACATAAATAAATTATACGAGGAATGAATATTTACTATCAGCCCTCTATAGTATCTCCCCGGCTTGCTCTCCAACCAAAAACCTATCAGTCCAAACCAGGTTCCAAGTCGCTCTATTATGATATGTCTCGTTGAGATGTTATTTTTTTTTTCCCTTGCTGTCAGCCTGATGAGGCTATCGAGCTGTTAACTTTCCATGCAAATGCTTAAACAATGAGGCCCCTATAGTAGGCCCGTATCTCTAAGGTCAAAATCGTGTTGAGATGTTATAAGCTTTAACTATCAATCAAGTCACTCTATTATATGACATGAGCAGCTTGACATGTGATTCTGTCTGGCTTTAACACCCTCATCTCATGGTAATACATCAAGTGACACTGAATACAAATTGCACACATTCTTTGAAGAAGATTATCTATTAGTATTTCTCAATGAATGTGAGAAGCAAAGTCCACCTCCGAAGTCAGGCCGTAGGCCGGGTATCACCACCATCCCAGAACCCATGTAACCATGAGAGACGACATGTACAGGCTGAGCTTGTGTCACGGCAGCACAAGTCTGCCGCTTCCCGTCGTCATCTCCCACGCCACCGCCCCCTTCTTCATCTGTCACAAACAGTATCAAGATCCCGTCCATTCTAACATTTCGCGACATTTCCATTAAAGGAGAGATAAGCCGTATGCATCATTAAACCCTCGAAAAACCTGACCCGAATGTCCGTTCATACCATTCACCATTATGTGAAGATTTCCCCTGCAGACCGACTCCTTGCACCGAGAAAATATGCTAAGGGTCCCAAAAGATCGAGGTACAGGCGTGAATTATGTATCAAACATGTGCAACGTAAAAGCATCAAACATCAAATTT